AAAATAAAACTATTGTAGTCTTTTCACATGGGATTTGAAACAATTTCGGCAGCTACTAAGTGAAAGCGAATTTTTTACTATATCTGGCAATGAGTTGTACATTCAGTACTATGTAACTGAACATCATAGAGATTACAAGTACGAGTTTGCCTATGATGACGATCTCCTAACAAGTTTGGTATAGAGTTAAAGTGGTAGCTTGGTTTTGTTAATATTGTACTTTAAGCAAGCAACATGTATCAAAAAGCGCTTATGCATATTAAACCAGCCAGAGGCTCGAAATTCATCACTTTTTTCAAACCGTACGAAAATTTAATACATGAATTCTGAATTTTTTGGATAGCACTAAATTATCGGCACTTTGGTAGAACTTGGTCATTCAGACAAACCGCGCTAGTGCGCTTCTTGTTAGTCAAGGCACAGTGCTGCTGTATTTTGGACGCATTAAACTGTACCAGATTGTTGCGTCCCCAAGCAGTGATAACCTCGAGGTCTCTCGTCAGAAAGGAAGTCGCTGCTTATGTGTGTTGACAAACACATTTTCCATTCGCTACGTAGTCGTCGATCGCTCTCCGTACTATTATCCTGTTCATTTCCCATTCCATTTCCTTTTTTGCCTGACGACGTTGGTTTTTTTGTCGGTATGTCGACGGAGTGCCGGTCTATTTCCGGCCGTCGGTTCCGGTGCGTTCCGGGAGCAACGAAAACACGACGCGCGCGCTTCGCTCCGGTCGCAACCCTTTTACAGCTAAAACAAACGAACAACCGATCCGTTTGAGCGGAAAAATACTTCACCTGTGCTCTGCCGGAACAGGGACGTACTTGAGGACCTCTTTTTCTTCCGCTTACAATGAAAATGACAATGCGTCTAGATATTGAAAATTATTAAATTTGTTGTAATATGTAGATGGCTAAGGTGTCCAAAACTGGGATAGATCGTTACAAAGGATCTGTTGCGGTCAACGAATTCGTACTAGGAAGACGGACTAGCATGCAATTTGTTTGGAACTAAAATTGAGTAGTCTTGAGTGAAGATGTTACGTCAGGATGTCACTTAGATAATTGCTCATGCTTCGCTTTTACTTCGTATCTTCTGCGAAAACATATACGAGTAAAAGTTCGTGGGCACCATATAGTTCAAGTGTTCTAGACAAACGCCGAATTTGGTAATGGCATCTGTAGATTGCATAAAAACAGCTTAACGGATTAAAAGCGGATCTCTGATCGATAAGTCTTAATATGTTATAGTCATCGGCGTCGCGAAATGGAATCTGCCTCAACAATGAATTTTTACCTGGATGTTTGTGAGGTAATTTAGATTAGTTCCCTCGAGTACTCAGTCCCAATTTACGATGTTTAATGATATGTTATACCTAATGGGGAAAGCTCGTCTCGTCCCAAAGAATCTATAAATATCAAACTAATGTTTACCTTTAATTTTCTACTGGATCAATATATAATCAGTGACATTAGAAGGGTTAAAACCAGACAACGTAATAACTATATTTAAAGCATGCTGTGGCAACAATGCCAACGTGTTATCTTTGTTTTTGTTTAGCTTTGTTAAAATGCTCTTAGTTATTGTGGAGAAAGCAGTTTCTGAAAGCTGAGTATTTTAGATTCTTAGTTATTGGCCTTTCAATACTAGTGGTAAGCAAGTCAAAGTGCTTCGAGTTCGAAGCCGTCCAAATTATCACCATGTTAGCGACTTTGACAGGGGTAGAATTATTGTCTATGTAGATATTAATGGATGGAAGTATCTAGAGGAACACGAAGAAGGCCTACTGGTCCTCCGAGGCATACCACAGAGCGTCAAGATAGGCGCTTCAGACAACTAGCCCTGCGAGACCAATGGCTTGGAGAAGAAGGTAAACCTGTTACTGTGCATACACTCTATCGCCGCATTCGAGCCTTTGGACTTTTTTCATACCGTCTAGGGTTAGTGCTTCCTCTGACTGCGGACCACTGTCGTCAATGTTTGAACTGGAGCAGAGAACGGCAACATTGGGATGGCATAATGTCATCTTAAGCGACGAATCGCGATTCTGTCTAGGTACGCAGAGTGGTCATAAAAGGGTAAGTCGGAGCCATGGAGGGCGGCGTGGTATAGGATTTGCTGATGAGAGTCATATAGAGAGGACTGTTGGGGTAATGGCTCGTGGGGCTATTGCGTATGTTAGCCGATCACCGCTTCTGTTTGCTCATTATGTTGATGATGTCCTACAAACCACTTTACTGCCATATCTAGAGGGCTGTCCACAGGTCCTCTTTTAGCAAGACAACGCACCTCCTTATATTGCTCGTCGTATAGACTTCCTTCAAGAAGAGAAGAGAGGCGTTAATGTTTTGCCACCCGTTCACCAGATTTAAATCCAATCGAACATATGTGGTATATGATGGAAAGGTAGCTATCCACTTTGCACCATCCGCCATGTACTCTGCCATAGCTAATCCACGAAGTTTGAGTTGCTTGGAATGAAGTGCCAGAACCAAACATCGATCATCTCATTTTGTCGATGCCTAGTCGTATACAGGACTGTGTTCGGCTGCGGGGTCGCCCAACACGTTATTAATTTTTTTCTTATTACTTGTCAATAAACTTTCGCGAGGCTGTTATCGTTTCATTTTTGATGTAAGACTACCACCTCATTCCCAAAAAATCAAGTTTAAGAAATATATTTTTCTGAGTGTAACACTTTTAATGTCACTGAGTATAGATAGAACATATTATTTCCATATTATGCTCAACTAGGTCTTTGCTTTCAGCCAAGAATCTGCTTGGATCAAAATGACTATTGAGTAAAAATGAGTAGAGTTCAAGCATGTTGTTCCACATATTCCGCTATTGGTGGTGTTTGATGAGGACAATAATTTGTACTTTTCGCCATCCAGAACAGAATTAATCTAATGCTGTACCGTTAATAAAAATTTACTTTGCGTTTCTTTACCTTAATTAATTTATCCCTGTATTATCAATAACTAAATGTACAATTGGCTTCTCAAATGTCGTTCCTAAAGAAAAAATATACACTTGGTTTTTTTTGGCATCAGTAGCCAAGTCTACCCAAAAGTATGCACTACATCTACGTTATTTTCGCGAGAAATGCTGCGATGTAAACATAGGCTTGGCTCCTTCTAACTTATTCGAGTTCATTAACGACGATGGATCACAAGTCTTTCGTGAAAATTACGATGCTAGGAAGTTAAGTGTCAACGCCGGGTATTACCACATGTATCGTTTTTTTGTTATGCCAGTTAGAAGATATGCGCCTTCGTAATAATGTTCTTTCAACAAGTTATCTGTCATACGGCAACGAAAGCTTGGGTGCAAATACCAAAGCGCCTATTGATTCACCACTTATATGTGACTTAAAATTGAGTGTATTTGATTGATTCTAATAATTGCCAAAATATTTCCGTGAGATTGGTACTTAGGTGACCGAAATCTGCACAAGTACGCTCCTGCGACGAGTGTTTCGTTTCATAGAGCCGCTGAACAGAAGGATATTCGATAGTTGCAACGCAGCATCCAGGTGAAACTTACAAAAAACTTAAAAAGAGGCATTTGAAGGTTTAATTACAGACAGAGACACCGGAACGTCGAACATAAAAGCGTTAGACGAACTTCGTTGGCGTATTACGTGCAATTTCGTTTTTAATTTTAGTGTTTGCTGTCCCGAGTGCAGCAAAGTGAATAAGTGAGAAAAATATAGAGCTAAAGGACAATGCGGTTCTTAGCAAGAGTCTCCGACAAAGGAATTTTTCTTGAATCATGTCTTTGATTTTTGATATCACACAGTAAAGAAAATTTGTAGGTACAGTCGAGTTGGAAGCGGAAAGAAGAAAATGAGGTCAATAAAGTATTATGAAAATGCGATTAATGTGTTATGGTGTCCGTGTCATAATGCAGAAGATACAGTCTTAGTTGATAGAACATATTATTGTTCTCAAAAGCAAGCCCAATTGTTACGTCATTTTCGACTGCTACATTATCTGTCAAACTGACAGAATTTTATGAATAATGAAAAAGAGTTGGCACATAAGACTAATGCTATTGCTACCCATTTCAGTCCCGTACCCAATGCATATCTGAAGATAATACAAAAAATCTTGAAGGATTGTTCCCCTTTATTAACACTGTTGGAGCAGATTAAATTTTAGAACCTTTTGTATGCACCCATCTGTAAAAAAGGTTAAGAACAGGATTCCACAAATAAATAATTGATTAGCGTCTTTTACTAGAAGATAGCCAATTGAATGCTACGCGGCCAATGAAATACTAACCACGTCCAAGTAGATACAGTGAATAGAGAACATCTGTACGGTAGCTCAATTCATTACGGATACTCTTTTGAAGGCGGAGATTAGATATTTACAGATAGAATATGCACTAAGTCCAGGTTCAACCAATAGGCCAAAAATCTGTCGTTATCGTTTATCAGAAAATCCCTCACGCTATAGAGATGTTTTTACCTCTAAAACCGCACGAGAAAATGTAAAAAGCGAAGAGTCTAGAACGAAGAAAGTAATTACGTCTATCTGATGTTACCACAGTTATTACGGCAATAAACAGGCATAAAAAGTCTGTACCAGTATACGAGCGTGTGAGAATACCTTTCCGCATGAAAGAGTTCTAAAAATCACTGTTGTGGGTTGTGCTTCTCCCCAAGTTCAAGGACTGATAAACTCATATAAAAGGATGTACATAGAGGGTTTCATTAATATTTAGGTCGGTTTCCATTGTACGGGGTGTTTAAACTTATTTGTAAAAGTGCATGTCACTGGTCTTTGATCTCTCAAATGCATATTCATATCACAGTTTTTCTTGCTCTTGGAGTAGACCTTGACTAGGCACTATCATTTAATAACGATCGGCTGCCAGTCAATAAAGTATTGCTCTTCGAAAACGGTCTTTCCGAACAAAAAACTCCAAGAGTAGAGCTGGAAATTGGTAAGTTTATATCAATTACCCTGATTTGATATTAATTTTTTTATTGCAGGTAAGGTCGGATGCTGAATAATGTTATTACAAGCTGTGAGTATATGAGACTATTTACAAGCAAAAACAAAATCCAGAATAAGATACAATTAGTGTGTGATAATGTTGAAGAATTGGGCGGAACTCAAACGGTCATTCTCAATTGCCATCTTTAGCAATGTAGCCGCTTCAAAGCTGAATAGAAGGGGAAAAATATCCAAGAATCCTTCAAATATTTCCGTCGCGCTCAATATCAACCGCTATTCATCACAAACGCGACCCAATCCTCAGCGTATTACGCTCACACCTATCAAAACCAACCGTTCTTTGTCTTTTCCCCCCGGAACAGCCATAAACATTCAATCGCCCTCCAACACCCTCCAAAATGGAGACATCAGGGCCACATAAAAACACCCTGGTCCTCCTTTCCCCATGATGTCGTCAGTCGGAATTAAAACACGAAATAGGAGGAATATAATTCGAAATCGATGGAGTTATAAATTGTCTGTTGGAGAGAGGGGTCCGTATCAGTAGCGTAGGAGGTTTACGTTTAATAGAATTCAAATGATTGCCCTTTTTGTTTGTGCTGTACCACATTTAACCGTTTAGGAATAAGTAGCTGTCTATTTTGAACACTGAATTAACCTCACATACTGGAGGCCCCAATGTTTGTCACGCGGGGTATAATAAGCGTTTGATAATAACTGATATTACGCCTGAAAGTTCTCTGCTTGACACAAACATGCAGCCCGAATCAACGGGAATTTGTAATTTTTGCGGATGCACATTTTCTTAGATTGATCAATATGGCTACCCTTTCGCACCGACGGGCAGCCGCCGCTCTTGCTCTCTTCTGCTTCTACGTCAACAAGCTTTGCTCCTCAGAGCCCTCCTCCATGATGCCACCGCGCGTTAAGCCGACCAGAGGGACCCGACGAACTTCGGACATTGAGAACTGGCTGCTGCGACCGCTTCTTCATACCTAAGATGTCAAGATTGTGAAATATCATCATCATCAACATCATTTTTCATCAGAACAATGCACCTACTCAAAAAAGTGTTGTCTGTATGATTTGCTCGACCATTGCCCTTTTTCGCTTCATTTGACACTCTCAGCCTTCCGTCTGTTCCAGGTTTCAAGAAATTCCTTTCTGGAAAGCGCTTTAAGTTCGAGGAAGATGTTGAGGGGGTCATAAGAATGCTGGAGACGAAGGGAATTACGTAAAAAGAATGAAATCATTTTCCATTAAAAATCGCAATCTTTCATTGTCAAGACGGGAACTGATTCAACTCAAAAATTGTGAACAAAGTTACATTCGTAGGAGAACCATATTCAATTTAACACATCCACTTTGTGGTGCATCATGGATACAAAACGGTAATAAAGGAGGTATTTAAAATGAACAATAAAAGATATGTCACTCTATTATAAAATCAAAGATTTGGATGTAACTTGACCAAACATTTTTTTAAGGAAGCTGCTTCTTTTTATTCTATATATATTCTATTTTATAGAACTTCAAGGTTGCATTTTGGGTGGTAATACTGTTTTATAAGCTGTTTTTACTTTTTTCTACACAAAAGAATGTTCTAAATTATATAAATATAACATACTTTATACATGACTGCGACAATATTCGTCGCAATAATGCAATTTTGCATTATTTTAATGATGAAAATAGATTATTGTTAAGTAGTCGTTACTTTCGAGATAAACATTCCCATTACTACACCACCCTCACTATCATAATTTCTACATCTCGTTGCAATGTTGCCAAATCATGGATGGTCGGATAATATAGTAAACATGTCGCGCGCTAATTAGAATTTGATTTGGCTTGTCAAATTCTCTTACTGTCTTGAGTTTCTTTACAATTTTCGGAGATTCTTACCATTGTGACCTATATTTCGTAATAGGCTGTCGAGTCGGTCGAAGAACGAGGGTTACTTCCTAGTGCAAATATTTGCAATCGGCACAGGATTGCCATGAAAATGCGATCTGTAGGTGTGGCCGTTTTACTATACTAAGGGCCAATTTCACCAACAACAGTCCGTTATTCTCCACCTATAGGGTAACAGAGCGTCAAATACAACGAATGAGCTTCAAGTTCCAATCAACAAATTTTATCAACCAATAGCTATGAAATGTTGAAAACAAAATACTGTCAAAGTATGAGATGACAGCTTGTCATTGAAACATCACCAGCTTATTGAATATTAAGAAATTACATATAATTCAGTCAAAATTTAAAGAAATGTTGGATTTTTAAATAAAATTCATGTTTTAATTACTATTGTTGATTTTTTATTCATGTTTATGTTATTTTCTTTAATTGATATGCGATACTGGGTGTTTTTTCCTATAAACCCCTTGCAGATAGCCATTAAGCACCTACTTGATGACAGGCTCTACCAAAAGATATTGCTCGTTTCCAAACATTCATTCATTTACTTACCGTTCATCAGAACCATCATGGCACCTTAGATTGATATTTCCACAAAACCATTCAGGTTTTTTGATATCCATACATCCATAAAGTTGAACATTTTTCGTGGTTCAGGAACTGAACAAACATCCACACTATATTTTCAGCGATTAAGAAATTCCCAAATATATGCCTTAAAGCTACCAGCAAACCTAAAACCTGCAAAAAAAACTACAAATTTGCCACATTTTTTTTTTCACGAGTACACATTCTAGGTTATATTTATATTAGACATTATTTGAATACAGCTGATTATTGCATTTCAAGTAGTGACATATGTGTGGGATCTGTCAACTCTTGGTACCAGTCACAAAACGTATACTCTGAAGGTTTAATTCCATGCTATTCAATGACAACACGGTTACTTGTGTGGTTGTCAGCGGCCATTCTGTGAGGGTGCGGCAGGGTTGCCAGATTGTGCATTAATATCCCGTTTCACCCTCCTGGTCTCAGTGGAGTAAGTTCCGCCAACTGTTGAAATATACTCTACTATGCTTTATAAGACTATTCGTGACATTTTTCCCAAAATCATTGCACAACACTTGAAAAAATGCTAATGATAATTTAAAATTATTTCCATGACGCCGCAAAATAGCTCCGTCGGTCCCTTGGGTTATACATCTTGACAGTTCGATACGATCCTATATTTAGAAGTATCAATACATTTCACGAGTATAGTCATCTTTCGATCCGGACTGTATCAGAAAGAGTGACTGCCATTTGGCTGCGACATTACCCTGCCATATCAGACATATCTTTCATCCTTTGCAAAGAAATTGTACAAAATCTTCAAATATGTGAAGTTAACAAGTTTCACTTCATATGTTGTTACCAGACATGTCCAAATAACCGATTGCTGCCGTGATATTCATCCCGACCACTGCATCCCCACGGCTAGGCGACCTGTATGTTAAATTTGTATTGATATGGCAGCGGGTTATGCTATAAATCATATGTCACAGTTTTTGTGCACTGATTGCAACGGTTAGGTTAGATGATACCAAACATATTTTCATAAATGGGAGATCTCTTCCATTCCGGATCGAACAATCCACCAAAGATGCTTATAATCATGATACCTAGTAAATTTACATGAAAAATCCTCTGTATGTAGGTATATAAGAGCTTTTTTATATTTGTTCATCAATTTGATGATACATCACATCTGCTAAAAATGATCATAATCAGGATAGTAAACTATGACGAAGGTCCACTGTATGTAGGAATTTTCAGATACTTCATTTGCAATTTGACAACAGACAATGACGGTGTTCACATTTTTCAAATATTCTTCAAGAAGTGTTATCAGTCTAGCTCCAACTATAATAAGTACTATGTTTGTATTCCTACTTTAAATTCAAAAGCAGCAAATGTAAAAGATTCATGTCGCACCATTCACCACGGGACGTGATCGTCGTTAGACGTGGCAACCCTGCGACTGAAAGATAGATATCCCCACCAGTGACTAAACATTCTTACACATACTATCTGTGTTTTAGGATGATGAGGACAATGTTTTTATTGCTTTGAAGATATTTATTAACCCGTAAATTAATAAATGATTACTATTAAGATGTAAAAGAAGATGAGGAATTGGATGGAATGTATTTTATATTCTATTTTCTTGCAAAATACAGACAAATCCACACTATTCAACAGGTATGTAATGATAACAATACCTATATTGAACTTAAATTTGAGATTGCCATGCATTAACAAACGTCCAAATCTGCTGCCAAATTTAGCAGCTAGAAAATCGACCTATTATTTGCCGCATTCCCATTGGATTTTGGAGATAACTGATTGTTAAATGTAAATTTATAACACAAATCAAAATACATGAAAGTTGACGTGTTTTCTCTGTACAAAAGCATCATGTTGGAATCAAGAGGTGGTCTTGTTTATAATACAGTCGAATTTTCACGATTTTATTCAATATTTTAATAGAAATCACTGATATTCTGAGACTTCTGACAGCTTCTGTCAAATTGCATTTCGATAAGGTATTTTCCCATTGGTCCATAATATTAATGTTGGTGAAATCGGCCCTAAATCTACCTCCTACCGTACGATAGCGTTAGCTAAAGGCAATATTTGAAGAATGCCGTACGCCCTTCACAAAAAAAACTTCGATTATTTTTTGTTATAGTATAATTCATTTATTTTTTGTATGTCTCTACTTGATAATTATTTGGAGTAAAGCTGATCTCACAAAGTATACCTAATTAAATGTAATATACAGGGTGTTTCACAAGCTGTGACCCAAAATGAAAAATCACACACATGACCACATTTGATATCTTCAAAACTGTCAGCTGGAATGAACTAAAATTTGGTTTGTGGATTTACCTAAGTATGTTGTCTAGATTCAAAAGTCTTTACATAAAATTGACGTGTGAGTTACAGGGGATTAGTGGCATTATTTTTCCAAATAAAAATAGTACGCCACTGTTTTTTTCTTTCGTAACGCGCAATTTATCGAATTTAGCCTTCAATTTGATACAGATAATTACTCTTGTGCTTTTTCCTAGAGTGCACTGCTTGCGCAAATATGAACGTAAAACAAATTAGTTCATTCATGAAGAGTCGACATACAATTAGTTTCAAAATAAAATAGGAGGTATTGATACCAACTTGAAGTTTCATGGGAGACAGTTTCAAAGTGTGTGTGTTATACGGTTGTTATCATTACTACTACCATTTTCTACCATTTTTGTTGTTGTTGTAGAAGTCAGGTCAAAAGTTTATTTTTTCCATTTTTGAGTGGTGTGGAAGGGAATTTAGTACGCCGATATTATTTATGTGTACAGGTTCTGTAATGTGCTGTAGCGGATTCTCGGGAGTATCAACGTATATTTCCTAACAGACGCCAAGCTACCCCAAAGGTTTTTACACGTTCATTTCTACGACTTCCAGGAGTTAGAGGCCTTGGTGTTTGACATACTGTTCAAGAGGAACTAACTGGAAGTGATTAATTTGGCGTTGGATGATCCTAGTACAAGCACTAGGCGGATTGAGGCCCAGTTGCCATATTCCCAAAGTCTTGCGTGGAGATTTTTAAATCGGGAAGTTTTACGTCCTTACCATCAGCAAAATGTGGTCAGATGTTCTTTATTTCAACACCCCGTATCCTTTTAATAAAGCCCTCGAGGAAAAAATGTTACATAGAAGACCACCATTGAAATGCGGTCCTGCGTATGATGTTCCATTTTTGGTCACAACTTGTGAATCACCCTGTATGAAGGTAAAATCTTTTTAACCTTCAATGTGTCGGGAAACTTTCCAATACAAAAAGATAAGTTCATTAAAAAGGTCATAGGGTGGAGAATCTCAGGCAGAACTTCACGTATCAAATAGTTGGGTACCTCATCAGGACCAGATTATTTTTTATTTTTAAGTCTCTCCATGATAAGCTTGTAAAGTGAAATGTACTTTCCTTGATATGAATAGTAGTGACTTTGACATTGATTTTCTGAATGTTTGCAGTTACATCTCTTGCAGCGTTTTTGAAAGATTTATTGAATGAATTTTCTACAATTTCAGGGCAGTCTGTAACGGTACCCATATCATTCACTTTTACCCACAAATTCTGCTAATGTTTTGTTTTCCCTGACAATTTTAATGATATTCCAAGCACATGAGACTGGTTTGTTAGATTCATTTATCTTCTGTTGATAAAATTTACTTCTTGCATCTTTTACTAACTCTTGGTGCTCTCTTTTTGCATTTAAATACAGTTCCTTAAATTCCTCATCGATTTCTGTTATTTGGAGAAGCAGTTTGAAGTGGCGACTTAATTGTCTAATGGTGTCATTAACCCACCCCCTGTCATTAGTTTTCTTGTGTCGCTTCAAAATCGGAAAGTAATTCTCGAAATAAAACTTGAAAATGCTCATTGTTGTCACTAATTAAATAGTCAGACACTATAACACCTCC